AGAACCTAATCTTTAGATTATCAGCTTATTTGCAGGAGTATAAACAAAAGGCTGAATCATGACTTGCTAATTGTGCTTCTCTTTTGCGGATGCCAGCCGTATGAACAAAGACAAGTCAATAATTTTCTCTGGATCATTCTGTCAATTAATGTTTATTGAGCAACTACTACAAGGCAGGCAGTGGAGCCATGATGAACCATGAGGTAGACAAATCCCCCGGCCTGCTGGAGCTTCAGCGCTAATGGAGGAAACAAACTGGTCACTAACCAGGGAGTTGAGCAGAGGCTTTAACAATTAAGATTCTAGAAAGGACTGGGGAGGAGTGTAGAGTATGAACTTTCTGGAAGCAGATAAAGTAGAGGCCTAACTCCATCTAAGAAGCCAGGGAAGAGGTCTTTGGAACAGGTCAGTTAAGCTGAAACTTGAACGACCTCTGTAAGGTGGGAAAAGCTTTTGATGTACAGGAAACCACTGCTCTGAAGCTAGAAACTGAAAAGAACAGAGGTAGTTGAAGAAGCAGGAATCCTGAGCAATAGAAGAGGGAGCAAGGGTGGAGCAAAAGTGGCAGAGATGAGAACACTCAGGGCCACAAAGGATAATACCCTCTAGCTGAAGTGTGGTGTCTCAGTGGCCCCATCTATATCCAGAGCTAAGGATACTGACCCGGAACTGTTTGTTAAGAAGACTAACTGCAAAAACACGAGGTGAAAATGCCTAGCATAGTGTTGGGGACAGAAAAGACATTAAATGAATACTACCTGAATCTGCATCCGCTGAAGAGCTCTCCTGAACTCTCACCTAAGAGAATAAACAACCTTAAATTCTCTACTTCCTTCTTCTTTTCGGTACCAGGAATCAAACTCACAACCTTAAGCCTGCCAGGCAGGTGCTGTGCCACTGAGCTATACCCCCAACTCTCTATTTCTTTCTTGAGGGCTTGGTGAAGCTTTTATTCATAATCAAAAACACTGAAAACAACCTGAACAGATGATGTGAATTATCATTTTTCCTTGTTATCTAACAAGGTCATCTTAATGAAACAAAGCAAGCTGCACACACCTGAATTTCAATAGTTCTTGTTCTTGCTTCATTCATAAGCATAACGCTTCCTGAAGACTGCATGGTGTAGGACATCAGTCATAAAAAAATCATTGATCTCTTCAAACAATGATTCAGTAGTCTCTCTAATTACTATATAACGGCAGGCTTAGTATGAACATAGCAGAAGTAAGCCTACTTGAATATGATTTTTTGATAGCATCCTTAAATTTCAAGTACAATTTAGGTACTTTCTAGCACAACATGTATTACATATCTCTGCATTTCAATAAACCCCTTTCACCCCTATGTACAACACTCGATAGTTCAGGAAATATATCTTAGTGGTTCCCAACTGCTGCTTCCTCAAGTTGGCTCATGGTTGGTATTTTTCTTTTTTCTTCTTTTTTTTTCCTTTCGAGTGAAAACCATGAGTTCTCTGGAGGCAAGTATAAACCTGATTGTCTTCGAGTAAAAAGAATTCCTTTTGTTCTCCTTTCCTTCTCTTAAAGTTATATCACATGCAATCAAAGTGGCAGCTGTATTTATTTGAAATAAAGTGACCACAAGAGGAAGCCAAATGAATAATTTTAGTGAAAATTGTCACATGTAGTTAGCTTTATATGATGCCAAAGTGACATCTCTCTATACAGCCCATTTTTCCCCAAAACAAGAGGAAAGTTGTATTCCAAATAAAGTGCTTCTGCCCAGTGGATCTGGATTCAAGTACCTAACCCAGGTTTGTTACCCCCTACAAGTTTAGTGGCAGAAGTCTTGCTGCAAGACTTTCAATGATAAATCCTAAAAGGTCATGCAGCTCCTGCCTATCCAGAAGGGCTTTCCCACTGGGAGCCCCGGACTGCCATGCAAGAGATCTGACTCCCCTGTATCTGCTTTTCTGTGAAGAAGCCCAAGGCAGAGAGGAGGCTAGGAGAAAGTGCTCTGTGGTATTCCTGATTGTTAAGTCATTCTCGTGTAGCAAGGAGCTACAGGAATAGAGGCATCTTATTTCCCCAGACTAGCCCATATGCCCGCTGAATGTTACTGAGCACTAGCTGACGCCACAAGGAGCAAAAGAATCACCTGAATTCTTGACTCCTAGAAACCTATGAGGCTGATAAAATGGCTGTTATTTTTAGCCACTAAGTCTTGGGGCCATTTGTTACGCAGTAGCAGTAATAAGAGAGAGAAGCCACTGACTGAAGCATCATTTCCTTGGGCTAGCAGGATTTAGATAGACTTTCAGCTACAAGTTGGCAGGACAATAGAAATACCAAGAGTGAGCTCAAAGACATTCCTTGTGAAAGCCGGGCGTGGTGGTGCATGCCTGTAATCCCAGCTCTCGGAAGGCTGAGGCAGGAGGATTGTTGCAAGTTTGAGACCAGCCTGGGCTACAAAGTGAGCTCAAGGCCAGCCTGAATTGCATAGTGAGACCCGGTTTAAAAAAAGACAAAAACAAACAAGCATGTTTTTTTGAGTTATGTGGGTGAGCTCCTTTACTCCACACAACAGCCCTGTGAGGCAGGGGCTATTATTATATCCAGTTCACAGAAGAGGAAATTGAGGCACTGAAAAGTTAAGGGACTTGCCCCTTCTCCTGCAGCTCTTCATCGTGGACCAGGATTGGATGCAGCCAATGTGGTGTCAAAGACCCTCCCTTTAGTCACCGTGCTACATACAATCTCACTTAGATCGAACATGGATACGGAACCTTACCAAGGAGACCCGACCTCGTAGAAAAGGGGGTGCTGGGAGGAAAGCCTTATATGAGTACAGAGCCGGTTTCTTGGCCTGTGCACACCCACACAATCCATCTGGAGTGGTATTTTTCAGACAATTCAGTCGTGGGCTGTTCTGCCCCAGGTCAGTCTGACTCTGACTCACGTATGTGTATTTCCAAATGTCAGTCTCCAAGCTTAGAAGGCACTCACTCGAGTTCCTGCAAATCTTTCGGAAGACTCTCACCCTCTTCTGCGACCCAGTGACAACTGGTACATCACAGAGCTCATTACTGATGTACCTTGAACATAAGCTTTGTCAGTACTGCCCTAGATGCTGCAGGAAAGGCTGCAAAAATGATGGCGGCTGAAACTCACTGTGCACCCTGTGCATCTCAGGCACATCTTGTGCTCAGCCCTTCACATGTGATACCGTCTTCAAGCCTCACAAGAACATTGATCCCTGGTGTAACTATTATTGTTTTCACTGCCATTTTACAGGAGAGAAACTGAAGTTAATAGAGATTAACTAGCTTGTCCGAGGTCACACCGTGATTAAGGGGACAGCCAGAATTCAAACCGTTATTAGGTAACTCTAAAGACAGCCCGCTCACTCACCTGGAGTAGCGTTAATACACTGCTCTTCTGAACTAGAGGTTAAACATGAGAATCTCCCTGCCTTTCTGGGAGATTCTATTCCTGTCTCTTGTACCCTCAGTGGTTCAGTTCCCTTCCCTATAACATGGGAACAATAAAAATAGCACCTCTTCCACTTCCAGATCTATACCGGTGATAGCTATCCATTGTGTCAATGCCTACTTGGTTGGTTTAGCACAGTTCTGGTGTGACTGGTTGACTTACGTACTGAAGACAGAAGATTCGCCCTGGGTGTTAGTGACACCAACCAATAAGCTTGTAGCCTTGAGGGAATAAAAAGGGAAAGAAGAAGGAAGTCTCCCTTCTGCTTCTTCAGAGGAGCCCCAGTCTTCTCCATCACCTTTGGACGTCCATCTCGAGGCTTCCTGATATGGACTCACGTTGGACACTGCAGTCAGCTCCAAGCCTGTGACTTTTGACTGGATTCTCTGTCTCTCTCACACACAGACGGCCCTTTTGCATTCTTCCACCCCTGACTCTATAGGTGGCCATTCTATAGGTAAGCCTATCTTGAAAATCCTTTCATAATACCCAAGAGAAACAAAAACATATGCTTACCAAAAAAACCTTGTAGAGGAATGTTTACAGCAGCATTATTGATAATAGCCTCCAACTGGAAACAACCTCAATGCTCTTCAGTGGATGGATAAACAAATCAAGGTCTACCCATGCAATGAAATGTTACTGGGCTGAAAAAAAATGAAGTTTGGATCCATGCTACAATGTGGATGAACCTTGAGAATGTGATGCTAAGCGAAAAGCTAGACATGAAAGGTCATGTGCTATGTGATTTCACTGATGTGAAATATTTATATCAGGGGGAGCTAGAGAGTGAGAAAATTGATTAGTGGTTTGCAAGGGCTGGTACTGAGTGTGAAGTTTCTTAGGGGGGGGAGATCAATTGTTCTAAAATGGATTGTAGCAATTACTGCATATATCTGTGAATACACTAAAAATCATTGAATTGGGTACTTTAAAAAGGTAAGTCTTAAGGTATTTGAATTACACATCAATAAATCTGGCTTACCACAGGGTGTTGTTTGGCATACATGAATTAAGTGCCAAGCACCCTACCCGGCACCTGGACGGCACTGAATACAAGTTGGCTATTTGTTGTTGTTGTTTTAAAGCATTAGAAAAATGTACCGGAATGGACTAGGGATATTGGTTTTTGTTTGGGCACCACAAGAAATCACATTCAATTTTCACTCTGATTGTATTGTACTTTCTTGAAAGTCTTTAAGTCTCCTCCATTCTGTCATCTGAGACACAAAGTGAGAAGTGACAAATTGCAGGGGAGATATAAGAAAAACAAAAGCAAAATAAACCCATTATTTTTGTGGGAAATACAACCAGCAGTGAGAAAACACCTCCTCCTGTTTGTGTTTCAGGGATTGATTAATCATCAGGGAGATGGTCTCTTTCCTACATTGCCCCCTCCTCTATGCTTTGTGTCCCTCTCCCTCAAAGCGTTCAGCTACTTCACATCAACATTTTCCTTTAAAACTGCACAGCAGATGTACATACAAGGGAAAGCAGCGACTGGGATGCTACAAGCTACAGCAACAACCGCTCCTAGAGCTTCGTTCAAGGTGAAGCACTAGAAGACGCCCAAGTCCAGCTGTTGATTTGCTGCGGGAAAGCTGTAGCCATGAGATGAAAAAGGACAGCTTTGAGGCTGCCTCCATCTGCACAGCACTGAGCTTCTTCTCCAACCATAACTGCAAAGGAGGAAGGGAGTTGTAAAAGTGCTTCAAGGAGCTGGGGAATGAAACTATACTTCCCACCCTTCCCAAGTGTCTCATTTAACTTTCATTGTGGAAATTGGATTGTGTTGTTTGCAGCTGTTCTCCACTCGGGTTGCCTTGGCCTTGGCCTTGTATCCTACCAGGAATGTCCCCCAAATAACACGAGTGTATCACAGAAGGCAGGTTTCTGACAGTTTCTCTGCCTTGGGTTTTAGAAACAGAAGCTAATTTAGAGAAGGGCTATGTTCCAAAAATCCTTTGCTAAATCAGACCCTTCCATGCTGAGCTTACTGTAAATTCCGGGTCACAAATGGTTAATTAATGCAAAAGTAATTTAAATATGGAAACATTTGTAAGTACCTTGGTTCACAAACTTAATGCATTCCATGATTCTGTGGAAGATGGCCATGGTTGTGTTCCTCACCTGATAAAGAGTTTGTGAACAGAAGCAAAATCTTGCGGAACGCTTTTGTTCATGAATCAAATTGTTCACAAACAGAAGTGTTCATAAACAGAGGGATTACTGTGTTCACAACAGCAGAGCCGTGATTCTTTGCCCAAAACACATAGAGCTGAATGTTTTAGAAACCATAATGGTTTAGATTTACAAAATGTAACATAATGCATATAGTTGTATATGATGTGACACCCTCATCGGAGTCCGGAGCAGCACCTGAGGATTAAGACAGTAACTTTTCTGACATGAACTCAGATAAAATAGGGTAAATCAACTGTAAGTGGCCACATACCAGTAACCAGTTTGGGCCGCCGTCTAACATCACTAAATTTCGTTGGAAACTTGCCAAAGAAATTCAGTTTGCACATTGGATTGCAGAATTGCACACAAGGAGGAGGCTGTGAGCCTACACCTTTATGTATGCAGTACATAGCAATAGTGGCTGAGACCACTATTAGCATCACTTCCACTCCCTGCAGCAGTAAGAACTGGAAGAGGCTGAGCACTGAGTGGCACTGGGATTTGTTACTGTTCCATATCTCTACAAAAAATGGTACGTCTTCAACTCAGTCACTTTGCTGGTGGTCTGGATCAGCATGGTTGTCATGTTGTGTGAGGTAGCTGCCTGTTCTGCACCATCTCCACTCATGTATATGGATGAGTCTCCTGGGAGTCAGGGCGCTGTAAATCATATTGTCAGTATATCACTAACAGCTGTCCTGTATTGCGCCCCAGATGTGCTCAGCACCGCACTAGGCACTTCACGGGAGTTATCACAGTGACATGTCCACAGCCCTAGATGGAGAGGTTTATTTCAGTGCATTAGAGCAATTTGCCCAGGATCATGGGGCAGCTGAGGAATGGCAAGTCCAAACAGGATTCTCCCCAGTTCTCTCTGACCCTCCGATCCCTTTCTCTTTTTCCTACATTGCCTTTGTTGAGAAACCTGAGATTTTACCTCTTGGTCAACTCCCAAAGGAATGTGAACCTAATAGTCATAAACAGAATAACCCAAAGACACCGCACAAGCAAATATATATACACACAACATTACTTGAGACTCAAGGAATAGCAACCAACCAACACCAGTTCTCCTGTTTTTGAGAAATACTAAACATAATGTGTGTGCGTGTGTGTGTGCGTGTGTGTGTGCGTGTGGATGCGCATGCGTGCACATGCACACATGTGTGGTCTTTGGGAGTGGGGGTAGGGAGGCTGATTATTCTTATGAAATTTCATTATGGTTTAATTATTTTTTTCATGAGATAAGCCCAGAAGGCCTTTGTTTCAAATATTATTTCTAATTATTCATGGCTTATGAATGCAATCACAAATAAGGGTGAGAAGGTAGGTTTATTATTTAATCAACTGCATAAAAATGATGTACTATTCAAATTTAAAAGGAAAGAAAGTCATCTTATAATTAAAGCCCTAGTCAGATAATGAGGTCTCATTGGCTATATCTATTCTCTGCTTGCTAGAACTTCTGAAGAATAAAGTAACTACAGAGTCGAAACCAGCCATGCACACAGTGGGGTCCAGGCAGGGGTCAGTGAGAGCCCTGGCCCTCAGAAGGATATTTATAGGTTAAATAGTCGAAGCCCTCGTCCATTGCAGTGAGAACTTTTGGAACCCAGCCAGCAGGCCATGGCTTGGCCTCTGAATGCACACTTGTAATGGCAGAGAGCTCACAGCCCTGCGAGGGAGCCTGTTCCACTGTAGGACAGTTTAATTAATGGGTCAAAAAGCATTGCCTTGTGTGCACTGAAGACCTAAATCAGGTTCATGGATGGTTTTCTCTTTCTACATTATCCTTTGCAGTGATCAGACTCAGTCTACTCTTTGCTCTTATCAAGTAGGGTGGCACATACCTGTAATGTCAGCATTCAGGAAGTTGAGACAGGAGGATTGCCATGAGTTTGAGGCCAGCCTAGAATACACAGTGAGACCTTGTCTCAAAAAAACCAATAATAATAATCTAGCTTTTTTCTTCCCCTGATATCATGTGGTATGAGGTTTAGATTTCCTGCTACCCTTCTGTTCACAAACACCTGGGTGATCTCACTAACGCAGTACTGCTCATATTTGGCTGTATAACAAAACTCCCCTAAGAGCTTCTCAAATCATGATGCTCAGATGAGACTTCACACCAACTGAATCAGAATCTCCAGAGGTGAGCCCAGGCATCAGAGCTTTATAAAGAAAATCTTTCCAGATAACTCAGACAAGTGGCCAAATTTGAGAAGCAGGGCTCTAAGTCCATACTACTCAGAGTCCTGTAGTTCACAGACCAGCAGCACAGCCTGGTTTAGGAGCTTTGATACTGATAAAGAAATACTAAGCCCCGCCCCCATTTTACAGAATTACCATCTGTACTGCATAAAATGCACTAGGGATCCCATTCACATTGCAGTGTGAGAGGCCAGGCTGTGGCGCACATTCCGTCTCAGTCCTGTTTAGATAAATTGTTTTCTTAGATCTTATGCTGTTACTGCAGCTTCAAATGAGGCAAGGTCCCATACAATCCACATTTTACCACAAAATGTGGGGTCTTCACCTGATTCTTCTTCATCTATTTCGGGGCTACTGAACACTCTTTTTAACCTTACAGCTGGACCTTGGAGATCCAATCTTCCTAGGGCTAGCCCTCTTTATCTACTATACCATATCCTAAACTAACATCCATTGTCGTATTTCTCAGAGTTCTGGTGTTTCAAAAGAATGTTTCAAAGTAGGAGTTTTAACTTTGATTAAGAACATCTAAAAAATAAATAACGATGTATGCATTTTAAAATCAACTGAATGACCACCTACAGCTGGGCACTGCCTTGTTGAATTCTGTGTTTACAGCCACACTGGTGCCAATTAGAAATATTTTAAGTATCTTAGACTAATGAGAAAATAACAGAGACCAGTCTAGGATGCAGAGCCAGCATTTAAATCCAGATCTATGATTCCGCAGCCTGTGCCTCTTTTGTTTTTTTGGCAGTCTGTTCTCCCTAAGCACGATGAAATATTATGTCTCCCTTGAAGAAATAGGAGCATCTTTATTTGAAACATTCGAATTGTGCAACTCAGTGTTTCTCATATTGGGATTGAATGATAAATTTTCAAGGATCCTAAAGTTCTACAGTAATTATTTTGCTTTATATTTTCATTGATTATTATAATTGAAAACAATCACTTTCATCTGATGGCCACTCTGTAAATTAGTTACAATATTTTCAGAGCTCCCATTTCCATTTTTTTTATAAGAGCTTAGGTATTAAGTGAAGGCCAAATGCCATCGGGGGAGACCAAAGGGAAAAAGTAATTCAGAGAAGGGACAAAGGTGAGAGCCCTGAGATGCTAAGGAGCCTTCCTTCTGTAGGCGCGCCAAGTCCCCAAGAACCTGCAGCACAGCAGACTGATCAGCCGTGTGGCCGACAGATATGCCCGCTGCCCCTCTGTAGCCCTACTGGTGAAGTGCTGGTTGGTAGCAGTGCATACTCACACAGCTACTGTGAGATTAAACTCGTGAATACAACAAAAGCAATTGGGACTATGCTTGGCTTGCAGTAAGTGCTGCTGAAGTATTAGCTATCGTTAATGTAATCATAATTATTTACCCAACTGCAAGGAATTGCACATGATGGCACAGCTGAATGCAGAGCTCCACGGCACATCTCTTCCCACTCTTTTATTAACCCAGTACTATAATCATGACTGTGAATGTGGAGCCTCTACCAGCCAGAAACACACTTAATTACACTTCTACTCTGTTTCCACTTCTTTATCTAAGATGCTGTAAGACACGCTGGCATCCAATTCTGCCCACCAGAAACTCCAAGTTTCCACTACCACCGAACACCATTCCCTGAGCGTTTCCCTCACTTCTGGGCACAACCAGTTCTGGTCTGCTGGCCTCCTGCCCATTTTTCAGGCCCTAGCCTTTGTACTTCAGGACTTTGGCATTTGTGGTTCCCTCCAGCTGGGATACTCTAACCAGACAGTTGTGCAGCTTTCTCCCTTTCCGCCTTCAGCCCTCCACTCACCGTTACCTTCTTTGTGAGACCTGTACTGATCATCTTTGTTTTGTTTTTTCCCGGTACCTGGAATCAAAGTCACGACCTCGTGCCGCTGAGCTAAACCCCCAGCCCCAACAAATTTTGAGCTTCCAGGTTTTCCTTTTTTTTTTTTTTTTTTTTTTTGGTACCAGGAATTGAACTTAGGACCTTGCACTTGCCAGGCAGGCGCTTGTGCCGCTGAGCTACATCCCCGGGCCCCTATGATCATCACATATTAAATAGTACTACTCACCCCATCCCAGGTCCTGCTGGCCAAGTAGCCTCTAGCCCTCAGCCTTAACGTAAATAGACTGCACTGTTATTCATTTTGGTTTATCTCTCTCCCACTAGAATTCCAGCTCCAAGAAGCATACAATTTCTTTTGCTCTGTTGTCCACTGCTGTATCCCCCAGTGCCTAAACGAGTACCTAGCCCAGAGGAGCAGATAGTAACCATTAGATAAATATTAGCTAAATGAGTAAATATCACTGTGCAGAAAACCAGACCTATTACATCTCTAGCGCTCTCCTGATCAAAGGGTCTGGTAATAGGCTGTTTAAACTCTTTTTAAAGAGATGTTTACAGCATTAAACTTAGTTTAGCATGACACATAGAATTTTATATATAATAAAATAACTATTTGTCATTTAGTAACCACAGAGCATATAAAGCCCTATTAAACAGCCTTCTCCTGCACTGGTAGATTTTGCCACAGCCTTTGGCTCTGTCACCGGAAATCAGCTCTGGCCAAATGGCCTTGTGCCATTCGATAGGCCTCTCTGTTCTGCTTCAGATGAAATAAAGGTAGGAAATGCCAGTTATTTGACCACAGGGTGAAGCAACAGCATATCTCAGTCCTACTTCTAATTCAACCTTCACCTTAATGACACACTTAATACTGAAATCAGGTGATAGGGTATTTCATTACCCCCGTACAAATTCCAAATCAGTGTTGTATGCAAGTAATAAACTTTGTATTTGGCCTGCTTTTATTATTCAATTTATTTCCTATACTGGCTAGTCCTAGTGACTTTTCTCCTTGAATATCTATCTGTGTTTTTATCCTATTTGTTTCCCTTCCTTTTCCTCCTTGTTTTGAAAAAAGCAAAGTAATACTGGGTCTTGGTTTGTCGTACCAAGGTAGCGGGGGTAGCGTTGCAATTTGTTGCTTGATGATACGGTTCATATTCTTAATCCAAAAGATTAATAAAATACAGAATAAGCAGCCAAAAGATATTTTCCTTCCTAGTAAATATTTATAAAGTAGCATGCCATACATTTATTCTATAAGATTCGGGATAGCAACCTCAAAACAAAATTCTAGAAGCTATCGGCCAGATATTTTTTCCTCCTTCAGACGACTCTAGAAACATCTATCCCTGTCTCTGCCAATATTTTCTATCAGCTTGAAACTCTTATAACCCTGG